CGCCAATTTGAAGCTTAAAGAGATCACTATCGGTTCAAATTTCTATGTGTAAATTGTGATGAATATAATTAAGTTTACGTGTGACTTAACAAAACGGTATTTATAAATGATTTGATACATGTCCCTAAAGAATTGCGGTTTGATAATTTTGTCATTTCAAAATGAGTGTTCATGTCCGTTAGACGGAGATATTAAGCATGGAACCACAAACTGTCAAACACACATAAAAGTTTTGCAACATAATTATACAATTACTTTTTTATTAAATTATTCTAACTTTCGTGAGACATTATAATAAACTTATATAAAAACGGCTAAACACTCACCTATATTCGTCCGGTGAATATAAGTGAGTGTTTAGCCGTTTTTAGTTTAATTACTTTTTTGATGAATTATTTGGTGATAAGGTGTCTAACGCTCTATTGGAATATTTCATCAGTAATGTTGGAGGTAAGGCAAAGAGATACAAGGTGAGAGTGGCAGGTGGGAGTGAGGCTGGTTGTTTCGGCGGCGAGCGTGCATAAATAATGGGGAGGCGCATCCGGCGACGGCGGCCGACGATCGATTGCAGCCCCATTTCTAACAGAAATGCTTATGCAAAATATCACGCTATGTGTCAACTTCTTTGTCTATTGTTAGATCTTCGTATATATTTCCTCAGTTGTTCCAAAGTTGAATTATAAACTAATGAAGTTCCCATTCGGCTGGTGGGGCGTAAAATTCGACCACATATGTTTTAAGAGTCAATTGTAACTTTCAAACAGTTTGGAAAATAAATATTTAAATTTATTAAATGTTTCAACGACCTACTGCATTTATCGTTTAAGTCGGCTAGCTTAATATGAAGAATAAATAGTTACCCAATTAAGCTCAGGCAGAGTCTAGAATTTCCAAAAGACGTCAACAATATGTGAAGTTAAATAGAGCATTGAGTTTGCTGCAATGATGCTGTTATTTTCAATTTTATGGTCGAGTGCATAAAGGTTGAAAATGCAATGATTTATATTTTGTAAGAGCTCGTTAGTGAAAAACAATAGTCGCGGCTGAAGCGTCGCTTGAAATACTTGATAGTATTTACTGGGAGTGACTTGAGTTTATTTTCAGTTATAATTAAACCAGAATATTTTGTACCATAAATAACTATTCTTAAGGTTTCGCGAATACATTTTGTGAATGTTTAGATGGATGGATGTTTCTTAGAAGTTATCGCCAGAACGGATCACATAGGCTACTATTTATTTTTTTAGTTCGCGCGAACGGAATCGCCGGCGACAGCGAGTACAATGATAAAAATAAGATTAATATTATTCTACTAAGCAATAATAAAAGTTAAAAAGATACATTACACGTGTATCTTATATTAATATACTATAAGGATAAAATAAATTAAGACAAAAAAATAAAATAACAAAATATGGAGGTGCCTTGACACCCTATTTAAAGGCAGCCAACCTCACAGAGGGGGCATTTGCTCGTTGCCTTTGAAGGCGTTAGGTCGTGTCAAAGTGCGTAGTGTCGAATAATTGTGTAAATTAACGGTTGATTGTTTGTGCGTAATTTAGTAAAATTGCTGAAACTTTGTTTTGTAAAAAGATAGTAAACCTAATTGTGATTCTTTCTTTTTCTTTAATAAATTTTTGTTATAATTGCTAAAATCAGAAGTGGGATTGGCCACCCAGCTCACTGTCTGCTTTCTAAATTATTTTTTAGGAGGGTGAACAAACAAACAGCCGTTAGTTGAATCTCTTTCGTGTTTTAATAAAAATTTGCTCGGAATGCGTAACCGGTTCAGATCGCGTAGTAGGTCGGAAGGTGGTACTCCACCGTTGCGAACAAGTAGGTCTCGTAAGAGAAGGCGTGGTGCTGGTCGTAGTAGGGACACGTCTGCGTCTAGTGATAGTGACAGTGAACGATCATCGGTATGTAGTCAAAAACGTTATTCAAGATTAGGTAGTGATCGAAAGCGACGTCATGATCGTGTCCACAACCGTTCTTTGCGACACCGTCGTCGCGTAGATTCATCTGACACAGATAGAGATCGTTCGTGTGTGCGTATTCGAGAACGTTCAAATGAGTATCGGTGCGAGCAATCGTTTAGGCCAGACGAACGTCGTCGTTCGCGTAGTCGTGAAACTTCGATGAAGGAAACATTGAACGCTATTATGTCGAGACTTAGTAATATCGAACAAAAGACGGCGGTTACGTCCTCGATGCCATCTCAACGTGACAACACACCTCAAGGCAATCGTGAACCATTTGCGAATGCCACGCAAGCACTGGCGGACACCATCCTCAGTATTAATCGTGCAAATCGTGGTTACTTTGTATCCAATTTCGATCCTTCAGTACATGACTTTGAGGTGTGGTGTTGTGAGGTAGAACGAGCTAAATTATCTAACGGCTGGACTGACTTAGAGTGTTTATCGCGTGTCGCGGTTTGCCTTAAAGGTGACGCTAAGACCTGGCTTAACGAATGGACGACGAATGACCGGTCGTGGTCAAATTTTACTAAAGAATTTAAGTCTCTTTGTCCGAATAAGATCGATTACGCTAATATTCTTTTCGACGTAATGATCACATCCTCGGACAACTTTCAATCTTATGCCGAGTACCCTCGTCGGTCACTTTTACGACTTCGTATAGTTAAAGGACTCGGTGAAGAACTCATGATTCAAATTATAATCCGTGGAATAACTGATGCGCAAATCAAGGCAGTAGCTTCAAACTCTAATTTAACGGTCGAGAATGTAGTTTCGTTCTTAGCCAACTATACTAAACCTAAGTTTAATGTTAAATCTGATAATCATAAACCATTCATACCAACCATACATAAGAATAAGTCGCGCAATTCTGGTTCAGATCAGAAATGTTTTGGTTGTGGTAAGCCTGGACATACTGAAGTTAACTGTCGCACTCCGGCTCAACAACATGCAAATACTAGGGATAGTGGTTCTAGAACTACGTGTACCTTTTGTAAAAAAGTTGGTCATAAAGAAGACGTTTGTTTTACCAAGTCTAAATCATTAACTCAGGGTACAAATCGGAGAAATATTAACTTATGTAAAGAACTTCCAAATTGAATTTTTACACATAGCACTAAAAATAGATTTTGTAGTTGTACCCGCCATTTGTATGAAGATGTCGATTATTATTTTTACCGATGTACTGAATAGGGATGGGTAGTCAGTATTAGAATTCGAATTACACGTCAACGTAGTACAGAAAATAGATGAACCTATTAATGTTAACACTCCTCTCCAGAGTTCCGAGTGAGAATTATTAAAGTCCGTTATCACTAAAATTTCAATCATTTTTAATAACCGGTACGGCGTCCACAATGGTTAAGGCGTAAAACATGAGTATTAGGTTATCCAGTTCAATACCGGTGGTCTATCATCCTTATCGACTATCCCATTTAGAAAAGTTAAAAGTGCGCGATATAATTTTAAGACGACAGATATGCCATGGTCAGGTTAGGCCGAGCCCTGGCAAGATGTAATGCTAAATGTCTGGTAGCTCCTTGGTTTTGCCGGCTATTTTCATCGGTATATGAAAGATTATGCGACGTTGTCCACGAGCGGCGCAGGTGGACAACATCGAAAGATCTTTAAACTGGGCACAGATTGCCCAGGCCGCAGACACCGAAACACAAACCCTATTACAAAAATAGTTATCAGATGGTCAATTGGACCCTACACGTTATGTGTGTCAAAATGAACTCCTGTTTTACCGGTATTCCCCGGTAGGGGAGGAATCTAGACTGTTGTGTTACATCCCTAAAGGTTATCGCTCGAGCTTATTGCAAATTTTCCATGATGAGCACCAACATATAGGAGCAGATAAAACTTACGATCTTGTACATAAACATTTTTGGTTTTCAAGTCTAAAACATTTCGTAAAAAAAAAAAACCTCCCATTGCCTTATCTATATTTCAAAGAAACACAAAAAAAAACAACGATATTCTGTTCAGTACGGTTCATTTTGATGTTCTCGGTCCTTTCTCTAAGTCAAATGACTACCAAGTTTGTGTTGATTTTAGTACATTCCTCCACTAAATTCTGGTTTTCCTATTTACCGACATGATCCCGACGAGCTTAAACGCACCTTTGATTACGCAATACTAATGTTTGGCGTATCAAAGATGTAGGTTTGTGACCGAGTAAGAATGTTTGAATCTTTCACCGCTACAAAAAGAGTTGGGTTGCGAAGTTCACTACGTAACGTCCGAAATGCACCATGCAAATGGTCAAGTCGAGCGTTATGTACGAACAGTTTTAAATTTGATTCATGTTGAGATTTATTATAATAACAGCATTTAGTCTGATTCACTTTGTAAAATACAACTTTACAACAAATTGTCCGCGTTAAATTTGTTGATTTTTATTGAAGCAACCACTCCTGTTATCCGTGCGTTGATCCGCGATGTGACACTTGAGGAGCACCGACCAAACCGCGAAGGGTGGAGAGAAGTTTGCAGGACTCGAACCAGAACTTTATCAAGAAGTAATCGAGAAGAGCAGGATGCACGTGTGTGTCATCCAGCGTCGGCACCCTTCGAGAGTATTTCAAGTTGATGACTTAGTGTTTGTTATCAAATACTCCCAATCCACTGGTAAGCTAGACTCGGGTATGCGAGGCCCGTACAAAGGTGCTTGCAAACGATCTATACGAACTCTGTGGAGCCTGTGGTAAGACTACACAAGCGGCTCAATACATGGTGTTGTGGAAAGGATAGTGGTGTCCTGAGAGTTGTGCAACGTTCTTTGAGAATGAGTTTTGAAATCAATCTAATGCCTTTTATTTTGTTCAGATATGGTCGATCCGGCTGGCCTCAGTTGCGGTCCGGATGAAGTACTCTTCCTGCAGACACATTTAGACAAGGGTTCTATTGTGATCTGGTAGGATCTGGCTGGCCTCAGTTGCGGTCCGTATGAAGAACTCTTTCTGCAGACACATTTAGACAAGGGTTCTATTGTGATCTGGTAGGATCTGGCTGGCCTCAGGTGCGGTCCGGATGAATAGCTTTTCCTGCAGACACATATAGGCAAGGGTTCTATTGTGATCTGGCAGTTATGGATGACGTGCAGGCTGAGCTCTAGCACTTTAAGACACGCTCAGAGATTAAAGGCTCTGACGTGGTCAAGCTTTAGTCGGGTCCTCTCAGACACGTTTAGAGACAGGGGCTTTATCGTGGTCTGGGTGGGCTTTGACTGGTCGGATGCACCGTAAAGACAGGGGCTTTACTGTGCATGTGACAAACACGCAGGGGTCGTGTTATGTGGTGGTTGACTGTCGCGGAGTCACCCGCCATGTAGATAGTTTAGTATGACTGAGATTATGAATGTTGATGTGTGAATTATAAGTGTATGAGTTAAATAGGAAACTAGCTGGTTATGTTAGACAGTGTGAAGGGGCCTTGATTGTGAGAAGGATGAAAGATAGGCACACTTATTATTGTTTATCAAACTTTAACCAAATTATGAATTTGACAGATACTGACTCTGAGTCTGAAACGGTGGAGACACAAGGCGGCTGTTTACAAACTTATTAAGGAACGATGCAGAAGCTGGACCATCGTCTGTTGGCCAGGTGAACGTGGCTCACGATGACTCCAGAGACGAAGATGAAGCAGTGCCCCGGGACGGTGCACGGTCAGGAGAGGCCGTATAAGGATAAAATAAATTAAGACAAAAAAATAAAATAACAAAATATGGAGGTGCCTTGACACCCTATTTAAAGGCAGCCAACCTCACAGAGGGGGCATTTGCTCGTTGACTTTCAAGGCGTTAGGTAGTGTCAAAGTGCGTAGTGTCGAATAATTGTGTAAATTAACGGTTGATTGTTTGTTCGTAACTTAGTAAAATTGCTAAAACTTTATTTTGTAAAAAGATAGTAAACCTAATTGTGATTCTTTCTTTTTTTTTTAATAAATTTTTGTTTTAATTGCTAAAAATATTAATAACATACCAAGATGCACAAACTTGAGCACACATCTGTTGCAGCTGATCTCGAGGTCTTTGTTCTGGTGCAGCTTGAGGTGATCGATGTACAGCAGCACGTTGGCTGACAGCTCGTGACCGTCCGCGTACACTGTGATCATCTGCAGCATTTAAAACTTTAGTTATGTAACCAATCACTGCGTTCTACTATGAGACGAAATGGTAGCTTACAAGAACAGTCAAATCGGGGTAAGCAAAAATTGAATAACCGAGTTATTTTCCAGACGGACGACTTCCGGGAGAACTTTTGCTTATGGATTTCTACTGTAGTGTACAATGTTTGCTGTTGAAAAATTATAGAAAACTCGAACTGTACATTGTACATTAGACGAGTAATATTTAAGGATAAAGGCTGTTCTTTTCCATAAAATCTAATGATAATAAATTTTAAATGTATCTTGTGGTTCCAACCGCACTGTGCGAGGTTTTTACTATGGCCTAGTCACAGTGGTTACAGTTTGATAAAAAAAAATGAATATGACATATACATTTTGTCTATGGTGGGAATATTTTTTTTATAACAGAAGGGGGAAACGAGCGGCGGGAACATCGAGGTGTTCAACGACGCCAATGGACATCAGCAATATCAGAGGAACCGCAGATGCGTTGCCGACCTTTGAGATAGTGATAAGCTCGCTTCTTGAAGGACCCTAAGTCGTAGCGGTTTGGAAATACCGCCGAGGGCAGAGCATTCCACAACGCTGCTATATTTAGTAGTGATATAGTGACCTTGAGACAGTGCGGGCAGTGCAGACGCGCGTGGTGTGCGTGTCGTGCGGCGAAGTGGTCGAGTGCGGCGCGGTGTGCACTGGCGCGGTAGTCGCACGCCGCGCACGCGTACGGCAGCTCGTGCGGCGCGTGCGCCTTCTGCATGTGCGCCGCTAGTGTGAGCACCGCCGCGAAACGCACCTGATAAATGCAACAATTAGAATTAATATACTTACTTGTTTATTAAAACTTTTTCCAATAACAAAAAAAAATGATTGCCTATTGTTAATATATGAAGAGCTGTCACTTTTTCAGCACGAAAGTGAACAATTGTTTCAAATATTCTACAAATAAAAAAAAAACAACTGACCTCACAGATGAGACAGGCATATGTGAATAACTCAGGTGACTTGGTGTCAACAGGGTGGTTGTGTTTGAGGTGCACGGCGAGGTCCGCGTGATCAGGGAAGCGCGCGAGGCAGTACGGGCAGAGCGCGCCCGCACCCGCGGACACGTGCTCGAAGATGTGACGCGTCAGGGACAGCGCGTCGTTAAACTCCACGTGACACTCGGGACACTGAAATAAACATAATAATATCGTTTGAAGCTTCATACTGACGAATTTCTTATAATAAATTATCAGAAAAACATGTAAAGAATATAAAGATATATTTGTTGATATATATTATTACACGATTACAGTATATTTTATGATGGCACATCAAAAAAATTACTAAAATTTTCATTTTAACATGACTAGATTTTTTAAGTTCCTTTAACCTACTTTCAAAGTTGAAGACATTGCATTGAATTAATTTTACATATATTATAAAAAATCTTACCTCTACAGCGATAGAAACTTCTGGAATATCTTCATTGCCTCCAGTTTGTCCAAAGTAATATCGTTCCAGGGACACTGTCTCTTCCTGTTTGATCTCCTTCTTAATACTTTTCAGTGGTACATCGTCCAGTTCATCATCCACATATGAGCGGGCAGTTTTGCGACGTGAACGTGGTTTCTCTGCCGACTCACCGTCCTTATCTTTGTCTTTACTTTTTTCTTGTTTGATCTTTGTACGCCGCAGGGCTAAAGGAACCTGAAACATAAAAAAATAAACAATTATGTTGAAAATATTTTAATATAATTTTTGATATTTTTTAGGCTTATAAATAAAATGTAATTTAACACACCTCTTCATCATCATCATCCTCTATATAAGTGGTTTTTTCTTTCTTCTTCTTTTTCGAAGGAGGAGGTAGTGGTGACAGCTCCTTCTTTTTCCTCCCGCGTTTTCCTCGTGCCGTCTCCGGCTCGGGATCTGGATCTCTGTCTTTTTTCTGCAAATAACAAATGAAGTGAGTTAAACATAAATAATATAATAAATGTTGTCATCAAAACAAAATATTGATTCTTATTTAACATAAGTATTCTCACCTTTCCGGGGAACTTCCAGTTTTTAAACGGATTAGCTGCGATCCTGTTGAGCCGCACCGTGATAGGCTCCTTCGCCTCGAATTTAGTTTGTTCCGATATGTGTAAGACTATGTTGTCGAATGCTTGCCCCGGTGATACACCGAACCTAACCAAATAAAAACATACAAACATATTGAGAATCTTCTCCATTTTTAAATTGGTTAATAAATAATAATTTATGATGAAGTTTAATAAACTATCTGAGATACAAAATATACTAATTATCATTTTATAATAATGTTGATATAAAATTGTAGTTTTTCACAAAATTAGATAAGAAATTCTTTTGAACAGTTTGAAGTCATTTAAAACTATTTTCTCTAAGTGTTTATGGTGCACATACCTCTCTCTCCAGACCAATTCATCCAAGAATTGTTGTATAATTTGTCTGGATAACAGTGACAATGTATTCTGGAACATTCTTGGTACAATACGTCTTAAGTATTCCATTATATTGGCATTGCTGTTTCTCATTGGTTGGTCCGAATGTGTGGATGATTGTACAACATGTTTGAAGCCCATCGAAACTAAAGTTCCTTTGTCCACAGTCAGGTCTGTTAGTATAACTGAAGATGGATGCACCCAATTACTTAATGGTTCTAGAATCTTCTGGAAACGTTTCTTATAGTTCTTTTCGTATTCCGCTAAAGGCTCTACTGCGCGGAGACGAATCTGAAAAGAAAATATTTTTGTTTCTTTAAACTGTATTGCTATATCCTGGCTGGATTAAATGGTTTTAAGCAGTATCTTAGCGCAATCTCCTTATAATAAATGTACGACAAGGTCTTTAATGATCAAATTACGATAAGCAGTAAGAGATAATAAACTTTGTGAAATAAAGTATTAGCTTACCAATTTATCGACTGGATCCAATACACCCAACACTTCAACTTTGACCTGCCTCTGTGTGCCATCATGGCTTGTTGTTCCCAGTGATATGACACCCACTTCAACTTTCTTTCCAGCACCACCCAATAATCCCATATGTTGATGTACAGCCAATGTACAAACAGATCGTAGCCATGTGAACAATCCTTTTACATACAAATTATCCACTTTTACCCATTGTACTACATTTTGTACATTAGTCTGACAAGCCCAATGGTAAATCAGTTTAAGTAGTACACTAGGTGGGAATGTGGCTCCTTCGAAGATAGAGCTTGAAAATACAGAGACAAATCTTGTTGGACAACATTCAGATATCCATACATAGCCACCGGAATAAGGAAATTTAGTTACATCCGAGTACATCCCTGAAAACATAAAAATTATTAATTTTTCACTGCCAAAAAATTTATATAAAAATATACTGTTATATTTGATTTATGAAAAAAAAACAGAAAACATGTGTTTTGCTAACAAAACTGCTAGTCTTATTAATATTATAAATGCCAATGTTTAGGTGGAGGTGGTGGTATCTCCTGAACGGCTGAACGGATCACAATGAAATTTGGCGAACCTATTAAACATAGTCTGAAAAAATACCGGCAACTAAATATGTTATTTTTTTATTCCACACAGATGGAGACAAGAGCAACAGCTAGTTCTAAATAAATGTAGCAATAACAGTTTGGGCAATAACTATGTGGCCATATTATTAAGTTAGTATATATGTAAGGAGATATGATTAGCTAATTTTTGTTGTACTGACCAAGTTTAAGCTTATTGCCTGGATGTATGGCACACCACTGCTCACAGCGTACCAAGCCCTGCTGTATGAGCCACTCGGTGAACTTCATAGGTGTGTGGATGAGCACTGACTTCACCTTACTATCCAGCAGGGCCCTATCAGCTGGTGCTGGTACTTCCTTAGCACGCAGATATGGTCGTGCAACCACCACCAGTGATGGGAATGTTTTACCTATAAGAATAAATAATAATAATTATCATAAAAGGACATAGTAATCTAAAATCTTTAATTTTTTTTATATCACATTGTTAAAAATTATTTTCACATAATCTGAACTAAGAAGTAAAGAATAGACAAACACAATAGTTTTACTTAAATGTTTCATGAATTTTGTTTTTTACCTTGTAGTTTATTAAATGACACCTCTCTTGAATCAGCAACATTCTTAGTGCTATCTTCTTTAGTGAGATCTACAATAGCGGTTGTTTTTGTAGCACTGCCAGTTAGTAAGCCACCTATGGCTGTTGCTTCCGATGGTCTAACATTTGTAACCACACTATGAACATCTGTCAACAAATAATTAATTATATTATTATAGAAATTAAAGTCATGAATTTTATCACAAAAACAACAAAAAAATTGGTTATTGTATGGAAATGTAAATACTGTACTACTTACTGGAAGGTGCAAGAGTCTTGTCCTTAGTTTTAGTGCTATCCTTGTCTTTTTCTCTGTCCTTATTCCTGTCTTTGTCCTTCTTTTTCTTCTTATGTTTAAGTTCAGGGGATTTAGCTCTGTCAGATGATGGTGAATAATCACGATCTTCTTCTCTGTATTTACGGGGGCGTCCTACAATAACAAAACACATATAAATATTAGGATAACATAGCTTATGCATAGAATATTACATTATTAGCTTATGAACTTCGTACCTCTTTTCCCACCCTTTGGCAGAGTTTCCCTGCTAATAGAAAGGGAACGAGATCGGGATCTAATTATTTCAGCACTTTGTCTTTCCAAGTCCTTCAGTACAGGTTGTCTAAAATGAGAATAGACATTATAATTTTACCTCCATAATAATTCGTAACTTTTCTATTAAGTCAGCAGGGCAACATTAACCAATGATAACCTCCTTCTTTTTGAAGTTGGCTAAAAACAATACTTACTTTCCTAGAAGTTGATAAGCTGTGAATTGATCACCATTGTATACTATTTCACCTCCTGTACTCTTAACTATGTCGTCAAGTTTGTTCTGAATACTCTTATATTCTTCGTCGGCATTCTTATAAGCCTGAAGTTGTGCTTCCGACAATTCCTCTTCCCAACATTCTAGTTCCAGTGTGGGAACATCGGGACCGAAGTATGATCTCTTGTATAAGTCCGCCTCTATTATTTCTGCTTGGGGCGGCACTACAGGTTCCGGTTGTACAGGAGCCTATAAAATCGTGATATATATACCAACAACCAATAACAATACATGTTTGTTTACAAATGTCTTAACTTACCTCATTGTCAACTTTTAACTTTTTAAGTTTCATTTTTACGGCATATTACTCTTCTCTAACAATAATATATTATTGTAGAAGGTCTTTTAATTCTTATTTCTGCTATATGATTTATTTTGTAACAATTACACTACTTTCAGAAGCGTCAGCGTCTTGTCAAAAATACCGGCGCAAACAGGCATGCGAAACTCTATTAGTCTATGGTACAAATTGAACGCAAACGGAGATCCTCCATCTTGAAAATTGTGTCTATCCCACTCATAAGTTTCTCTATAATTTTTGGGCTGTTTAAAAAAAAACCATAGTGCATATGAATAAATTGTGATTTAAAAATTTATAATTTCTTTATATTTAAAGTTTAGATAATAAATAAACAACAATTTAATTAAGTTATTTGAAGTATGTAATTTAAAATTTACAATTTATTTGTATTCATCATGAAAACACCCCCCCCCCCCCCCGACAACGATGTCCTCCGCCGTCCGCCATTAAACTTTCATTCTCTCATATAACAAACGAAATTTTTTATGATATTATTATATTTAAAATCTAACCTTATTTGGTAAGAATATTGTAGTTTCAGTGTGAATTGTGGGATTAAGTGTATAATAATTTTGAGAGTTCGAAAGCTGATGTTTTCTTCTAAGAAGATTTCCAAGAACCATGTGGTAATTACATTGTGTTTTTTAGTATTATATTTTGTATTTTTTGTTGTTTTGACTATCTCATCATATTCTATCTCACTACATATCAAATAAAGTATCAATGACTATACTTGATATTTTATGTACGTAAATAAATCTTATTCCATATTTACGTTAAAATGTTGCTAAATGTTTTTATATTCGTAATTACTTAGTAAAAGTCAATGAAATGAAAGTTCGCTTTGAAATTGTATAGAAGTTCTAAATAACATAAAAGGTAATGCTTTATAAAACCGAATCAAGCCAAATTTCCATTACATATGTCTTAAACGATAGGGAATATTCTTACACTGTTTTGGAAGTTTTTTTTTGGAGTCGTAACTTAAGTTGAAAAAAAAACCAAGAAAACTACATAGGGTAAGTTAAGTTTGGAACAATAGAAAAGCGCAGGATAAGTAAAGCTAGGTTTATAACATGTAATAAAACACCAAAAGCAAACTGGAAAGGTTAGGTTTGGAACATTTTTAATACCATAAAAAAACATCGAAAAAGCGAAAATATTTTCTATTATAACATGTGATTTTATAAAAATTGTGAGTGTCAGCATACCTGTTACAAAACTGAAAACATATGAAACAATTTTAATATCTTAATGAAATAAATTAAGACCCCGAAAAAAAATCTTCATAGCAATATATTCATCTTCAGCAATCTTCATAGCAATAATACTCATGATGATCATTTCCTAAAGTTTAAAATTGATTTTATGAAAACTTGGTTTGATTCGCTGTTGTAAAGTTGTTCCAAATAAAATTATTATTCAAATGTTAAAAGACTTTGTTTATTGTTGTGTTTGGGTTGGACTTTAAAATGGGAGTGTGACTCACTTTCCAATGACAAATTGACCGAAATTTATTATTAAAAAGTACACATCTTTAGGTTTGTTTATAATAAAATTATGAATAACATCAACAATATGTGATTTAATAAAAATAAAGATATCTGTAATAGTTTATTTTTCTATTTAAACTAAGTTACCAGCAGTTACATCCAACCACTGAAGTTTTTGTAACTTATTAAATTATAAGAATAAGCTTTACAGTTATAATTAACTACAAAGGAAGAACATTGTATGAACAACTTATCAATTTTTAATACTTTCTGTTTTTAGGTGTGAAACAAGTAAAAAGCAGTAGAAAACATAATCTATGGATTCACAGAAATAGAATTTGAACAAAGATAAAATTCTACATTCTATTCATATTTAAAAGAACTAAATGTTGAACTAGAACTTATGACCTTTTGCTGATTGCTGAAAAGTAAATTTACAACAAAAATTGATGAAAATAACATAAAAGTAAGTACAAGACATATGCCAAATTCTACATGGTAAGTGGTAAATATTAAGTATTAATAATAATTCCCAAAGCACATATTTCCAGCAATTATTTGAACAATTTTAACCTTTTAAATTGGCTTGATATTTAGTATGATATGGTTTGCTCGAAACATGAAAAAGATTCAATAATAAAAATTAACTTAAACATTATTTAGGTTGTGTGTAGGATATCTCTCTATTATTGTTTCAAATATTGTAGATTAAACTGTAAATTGGTCATGTCATGACAAGTTTTTCAAACTAATTTGATTTATGATTCTATCATAGACATTTCACAAAAATGGGCAGGCAATAAAAGTTCCAAAAAATCTGTACCTGTAAAAACTAATCATCATTTTTACATGGTTTGTGAGTTCCATCATTGTAGAGAATTGAATTTCAAAGAAGTTTTGTAAGTAAATGGGGAGAAATCTATATAATCAAAGAAAACCAGTTTTTTTTTAATAAGGTATGTAATTAGGTGAAAAGCAATAATTAAATTGATGTTGATTATGTTCATACTGTTGCAGATGAATGATTGCACCTCTTCAAGTTCTACAGAATTATTAAATGAAGGAATCTGCTTCAGAATTGCTGACTGCATGTCGCTGCAACATCTGTGCTACAAAGTTTGACTGTTTAAAATATTGTAATTCTAAACTAAATTTTGAAAAATAACTTATTATATAGAGTAGTTTAACCGCAAATCTAAAAAAGAGTCACCATGTTGCAGGAAATGCACTAGCATAATAACTATATTAATGTCATTATTGATATATAGATGTGTAACCTATACATTATTTATATTATAATTTAGTGTTTTATATTAGTTTGATGTTAATATTATGACAATTTTTAGAAATATGTATTAGACTTTAATATAAAATATACACTAACATAATAAGATTTTCTCGAAATTGGGAAATGCAGTGTATAGAAAATAAAAATATACTAAAATATAGGGAATTAAGTATCAAGTACAAAAGATAAAAAAAAAAAACCATTTAGTGAAAAATATGAAACAAAATTAATTTATTAAATTTGGATTTTACAAATGTCACACCTTATTATAGATCTTATACTTTTTTTGAACTAAGTAATAAAAAATAAACAGAGATTGTATACAATTTTCTTACAAGTAATTTAAATTTCAACACAGGTACTTTTCCCCAAAATGATGCCTCCTAAGCTCATTATTTTTCCTCGTTAAGGAATCTATAGGTTACACATCTATGGAGAATAGTAATAACAAAAGAGTTAAAATGCGGAATCTTTAGGTTCATGATAATTTTATGAATTTATTTGAGAAGTAAAACTTAAATATTGTATTCTATTTTTACAGTACATAATATTTAACATGACTTGTACATTTGCAATGTTTTGATAGGAAAAGTTTGGATTAGGGGACTATTTGGAGCGTCGGCAGTGCAGTTGGCGCTTGACCGGATCATATTTTACATATCCAGGTACGATCTCCGCTATATAGTAATGAGTTCTTCGAATTTCATGATAACATCCATCAGACATTCTTACTGTAATTACAAATTGCATACAACTGCATAGAAATTCAAAGATATGTGCGAAGTCAACTAAGCCTCACTGGCTCTGCATTGTTGAATAAGACCTAGTCGCATTCTTGAGGGTAGGCTCCGAGCTCCTCAGTGGAGTATAGTGTGTCCGTATAGTGAGCTTGATGATGACGATTTGTTTTGCTTCAATGCATATTGTCTTGTTAGCAATTTTCTAAATATTTTACCAACAGAGAGGAGCTAATCTCTTTCCAGTGTTATTCTTTTTCTCAAGACAAGAGTGGCACTACTACTCCAGTTCTATCAGAAAATATGATCTATCAAATAAACAAACTGGAACAAATAAGCATTTATCAAAGTTGGGGTATTTTGTTGGTGAACTAAACAATAATGGTATTATTACGAAAGCAATGAGCATTATGTTGCGTTCTTAAAATATGTTCGCTTTAGTCAGAAGATTAAATAAAGTTGCAATTAACGAAATTGTTTTATTTTTCCAAAATTGTTTTCCCTCGGATAATACTTTCAAACGTCCAAACGGAAATTGACAGATTGATTTTTTTTAGGTTGGTAGCAACGTAGACTTGTTCATAATATTGCTAGCATTGAAAATGTCAATTTTTATTCTCCGTTTGTGTATCTAATTAGTCAAGAGTCCCGTCTCTTATTTTATATACTCTTTGGGCGCAAAGAGTATGGAAAGGACAGATACAAATTACGTTGCAACAACCAAAGATCGAGAAGAAAATGGTAATGTCTTGCATTAATTAAAAAATAAAGTAATGTAATATTCCGTTTTTATTCACGTTCTTACTTATTTTTCATTTACCTAATTCCCATTAATTTGCTTAGTATCGATTTTGTGCGTGAAAGTACAATAACCATAGACCAACAAAGACTATCAATATTCGATAACGATAACTTTGTAAACTTGGACTTGTCATCTCTAATCACTTATCATTTTCTCCCAAACAAAAAATGTTAGCAATCTAGTTACTACAAATTCCAGACTTATGAAATTTGTTCAATTAATCTAAATAGCAGGATCAAGTTTTAAATACAAGGTGAGGCACCATGGAGGCGGTTCCAAAATTACCTTTGATCAGTTTTGAATTGAAAGTAAGCCCTGAGAATACTCATTTTGGACCTAAACTAAAACAGGTAAACTGAACGTATTGTTATTTTTGTTGTCATCTTAATATTTAGATCTTTGTTTTTATATTCCTTGTATACTTTAGTATATAGCAGAGGCGTATAGAGAAGATCCTGATAGCTATGGAAACGAAATACATCAATTGGAAGGCTTGCGATCGGCCGCCGTGAGAGCAACTATTGACGCAGCAGGTCTTAGTTCCCTGAACCGATATTTTTGTCAGCTGAGGGCAATGCAGAGCCGATTTCCAATGGCAAAAGGTCAACCAGTCGCCTGCACTTTTGCTTGGTAATAACTTAATTAGATTATAGACAATACACTGAGACATATTGATCTTTTGTTGTCCTACTTTACAATTGTCAATTATGCTTGTATGAGTTGCATCACATTTTATGTAGGAAAATAATACACTAAGATTCCATGAAGATTGTAAATACATAGAAACAATTTTTTCCTACATTATTAAATGCAAAGTTAACCTTTTTTTAAGTTGATGTCATAATATTTTTGATAAAAAGGTTTCGATTCAATTTTAACATTAAAAACAGGTCATATTAATGCAAAAATAATATGAATGTCTAAATCAGTGTTAATGAAATAGTTTAATGAATGTAATATAATTTTAGGAAGGACCTTTATGCAAATATGAGTTGCTCTTTAGCCGACATTCGGTTTGAGATGGCGAGCATCTTGTACAACATTGGAGCACTCCATACCCAGTTAGGTGCAGCAGAGGCCCGTACCACACCTGATAGTTTGAAAGCAGCCTGCACCCACTATCAGCAGGCTGCTTGGGCTTTCAACCACCTGAAAGAACAGTTCCCTCAGCCACCTGGTGCTGATGTATCCTCTGAAATACTGTCGCTATTACAAGAAATATGCTTTGCACAGGCCCAAGAATGTATTTTGAATAAAAGTATTCAGGATACCAGAAAACCTAGTGTTATCGGTAAGTTAGATTTCATTTTAGTATATTTTCTGAAGTATGTACATTTTAAGTGTCTTTAAGGTTTCCGAAGTTTGATAATTTAACAGCTCTCATTATTGCAAGGTTTGAGTATAGAAAGTGTTGTTCCATAACTGAAAAATAATTCCAGGTGCGGTAGCAACTCAAGTTTTATTATTTTACAAAAACTCCTTGGCTCATCTAGGACCATCATCGGGGACTGATAATATTCATGAAATAATTGGCACAAAGCTATACAACCAGTGGCATCGGTACCTGTCTTTTAAAGCAGCGTACATTGGCTGCATTGTTTGTTTATATCAAGGTATGAATCATCTATGACAAAGACGTTTTGATAAGATATAAACGTCAAATATACATACTATTATGCGAACACCATGTCTTTGTTGTGAATAACCATTCATGATGTTAAACATCACAATGTGATGCAAAATAATTTTTACTTTTGCCTAATTTTAAATACAAAGTGACACTTTGAAATTTATGATTATACTGGCTTCGCCCAACCTTAGTATTTGCGCGGAATTAAAAAAAAAATATTAGACTATGTGTTCCTACAAACTAAGTTCTTTTCATCAAGATCCATTGAGCAATTCTGGAGATACCTTCTAACAAACATCCATCCATCCATCTACCTGAAGATGCGCAATTAGTAGGATTAGTAACATTCCTCATTATAAAATTTGAATATATATTTTTAAGGACTGAATGCAGAAGAACAACAGAAGTTTGGAGAAAGAGTGGCTTATTACCAACAGTCGGTAGATAAACTAGCAGAAGCGAGGAAACTCGCTAAATACATAGAACCTGTGCAAGTGACACAAGAAGCATTGACATTCACTAACGATGTTGTTGAGGGAAAGAGGAAGGCTGCTAAGAATGAAAATGAGTTTATTTATCATGAGGAAGTGCCCGAAAAAGATTTGTTGATGGATTTAAAGCCGGCTTGTCTTGTTAAAGCTGTGCCTATCAATTTCAATGACCCTGAGGTACTGAAATTTAAATATTTATAGCATAAACTTTATAGTTTCTAATATAATTTCATTTTTTTCGCATTTTTTTATTCCTTTTTTTGAGACAAACAATCTTGATTCAACTGATTTCTAGGAATTTGGTCTATCAATTTTAAAATATCGGCAGGATGAAAACTATTTTTGTGGTCCCTATCTATTAACAAATTATATAATTAATTCAGTTTGAAAGAGGTCTAATAGGAAATATGAACATTTCCAATTGAACTTTACACTTTCAGATCTCCGGTAACGACATTTTCAGTAGGTTAGTACCGATGGGTGCGCACGAAGCTGCCTCGTTGTACTCTGAGGAGAAGGCCAAGCTACTCCGACTGGTCGTCAGCCAAGTTGATGCTAAGAATACTGAACTGACAGAATTCATGTCCTCGTTGCAAATTGATCAGCTGGAAGTACTCGATTCTGATCAGAAGTAAGTTTGTAAACTGACAATAATTCGGATTTACCCATCAGATTTTAGGGCATTGTTAATTTTTATTCTATTTTTTTTAATAGGATACCTCAAGATATTGTAGACAGATGTGCGGCCATGAACGCTAAAACGGAAATAATTCAATCTTTAGTCGATTCCATGAACAACTTGGCTGAAGTGATCAGTGATGTTGAACATTCTCTTTCTGAAATAAAAGGAATTATTCAAGTAAGTATTTTAACTCAGTTAATATTAAATAGCTTATTGTCTTTGTATCATAAGGTGTCAAACTAGTAAGCGGTCATCTGAATTCGCCGAAATAGCGAAGCAACCGTGGCCTTGACATGCGCAAATGGAAAAACGTGGCCTACCTTTTATTGACACAGAGGGAGACTCACAAAAATACGATATTTCCTTTTCCTATGCGTCCCCTCTGTCATATCTACTTCTCTTTCAAATCCTTATAAGAAAACGATGAGAAAGGAAAGGGACTAAAATCAAGAAAGTTCCTTATAGACTATTACTTTAAATGTAGGAAAATAGTAGATTTAAATTTATTTTTCAAATAACGCCTTTGAGTCCACCGCTTAGTATCAGATTTTTTTTTTAGGAGGAGACATTAAAAGAAAAGGAATACCAGAAAGTAATGGGTCCACGTCCCCCGTCGATAGTTCAGACGGAGATTTCCCGAGAGTTCCACAAGTACCAAGAAGCACATACAAGGACCAACGAGAGTAACCAGGTGCTTCACAAGGCGATGACCCTGCATATTGCCAACCTGAAACTGTTGTCGCAACCCCTCGACGTGTTGCAAGCCAAGATACCCAGTATTGATAATATAGGTTTGTAGTGTAACATTTTATTCTTATATCTATATAAGCTCAACGTTGATATTTGATATCTTTTTGAACATATTCAGTCATCTTCCTACTCCTCCACCTGATGGGTTTTTTTATTCGTCATTTCTGTCGTGGGAGTGCTCATTTTAATCAAGTCCTAGGCGTGTCCCTACCGATTATTGGGTTAACTCATAAAATTAGAAATTATTGAAAATTGTAAAATTAAAGTTTGCAATGCAACAGTAAGGCTTCTCGTACACATGATCTTAGTGGGAAAAGTCTGCAATTTCCTTGCGACGTAACCAAGTTAGTTGTTAATGATTTGTGCAGAGGGTTTGGACCGGGACACGATGAAGGAGATGCGTCGCGTGGTGGGCAAGGCGCGCGAGATGCAGACGCAGCGGGACGCGCTCGTGCAGCAGCTACGTGCCGCGCTCACCGCTGATGACGTCACCGCCAAGCTGCTCGCGCGCACCAACGACTCCGCCGACGACATCTTCCGCGAGGAGATTGAGAAGCACGCACCAAAGGTAACACTGCCGCGACACTAACATAAATATTGTCATCTCTCTCATTCTCTTTAGAATAAAAAGAGACAACAAGATATTGCTTTATCTGTACAGGTATTCATTTGATATTGCACATTTAAATGACATTACTACTTTTTTTGCTGCCGTGGAAACCAGTCTTTAGCTAATAACTTTAGTAAGATACTAAGTTAAATCATTACACTCGTATACTGTTATTAGTTATTTTTCATGTATGTATTATATATTCTATAAAATTATTGGAATCATGTAAATTTTACTACATTTTTTTCAACGTTTAGGTGAAAATAATAGAACAGAACTTAGCGGCTCAGGAGAACATAATCAACAAGCTGACGACGCTGTACGCCACGTACGCGGATTCGCGGCGCATGCTCGCTGACGTGCTGCGGAAGAGAGACGGACTTATCAATGGTCAGTGTAGTGTGAGCGAGTACGATGACGTATCGAAGTTGTTTATTATATAGATTTTTATTTTAGCGGTTGCAAGTATACAAATCTAGACACAGTTTATCATCGCCTAGTATCATTAGTATATAAATATAGACTTAAGAAATAGGCAGATATGACCCATGTATATTTGTCAAGTAATGATTTAGACGTTCTCTTAAGGTTATAAAAGTGTTTATTTTTTTCCTATAGCTCTAGTAACATCATACGACGCGTACGAGGAGCTGCTGGGCAAGTCACAGAAGGGTCTGGAGTTCTACCGCAAGCTGTCGCACAATGTGACGCAACTGCTGGCTCGTCTGCGCAGCACCTGTCAGGTGCTGCACGAGGAGCGCCAGCAGATGCTCGCCAACCAGAATAATAAAGGTATATTGTATTATATCAATAAAAATTACAGTTTTATAGACAAATTAAAAAAAATAACAGTGGTAGAGTCCGTTTTAACATCTTCGCACGAATCGGCCCGACTCGCCCGGTGAAATACCACGACCACACAGAAGACAGGCGTGAAGTGGAAGCAATTCCGCGTGCAGTCTGATGAGTGTGTGTCCCTGAGGCCTAATTCAGTCCTCTTTCCCTTCCCACCCTTTTTCCTATAAGGGAAGGATGGGAAGTGGAAGTGGACTTTCCGGATGAGAGGATGCATGAGAAGGGAAAATATTTTCTTTCTGTGCATCTCCTCCGTCGATTAAAGGTAGGTAACGCATATGCAATTGCGTATGTCTATGGGCAACGGTCACTTCGCTATTTCAGCGATTTCAGGTGGCCGCTCGCTCGTTTGCCACCTTGTGATATAAAAAAAAATACTACAGACAAATGTAAGACTTAAATAGTTAAAGACGCATAGATAGATTTTTCTACATACTGTACGTCTTCTCACCTGCCAAATCTATTTTCCCTTGCCATACATCTTACATAGTGTTATTAATATTATAAATGTTTAGATTAGATTAATAGATGTTTGTTAGATGGTATCATTGAAACAGCTCCACGGATTTTGATATAATTTGAAACAGATGTAGAACATAGTCTGAAAGAACACAAAGGCTAGTAATTAAGTTTTTATTTAAATAAAAGGGAACGGAGTCGCGTGCGACAGCTAGTCCAGAATAAGTTGGGATGGGAATCATTCTTATTTATTTTAATGTAATTCTATAGCTGGCAGCGTACCACCGGCAAGCACTGCATCTGCAGCAAAAACTCCAGACACGATTCCTATACCATTAAGTACAACAGCCACACCAAAACTTAAAGATTATCTGCCTTATATGAAGAACCGGGGTCTGGCGAGAAGCCGTACTCCTCAAGGTAACGTATTTAACTAAACTTTATGTAACCAGTTAATTTAATTATTTAGTTAAAATTATTCTTGCGATCAATAAATCATAAGTTATAAAAAGTATGAATTGTGTTTTAGCCCAAGTTGATCCTTTACCAGCTGAAACTTATTACCCAGAATCTATTTATCCCACTTCAGTCAGACCAGCGCCTGTCGGATCTGAAGGTAATTATACTGATACATTTAAATTACATTTTTTAGTAAAAAAAAATACTAAAATGATAAATTTCATTATATTGTTTCAGCTACAGATATGACACAAATGAGTTTACCAGATGGTGTAGTACCATCCGCGATGCATAATTTACAAAATCCTTACGGACGTTACGGCACTCCGTACGCTCCGAGCGAAGTTGACCCTTATGCTGGTCAACATACATACGCATATCCCGTGCCTGGGAAAGCTAACGTCGACAAACCTATAGATGATATGTCCACATACAGCTATACATCTTACACACCGCCGCAGTACTCCAGTATGGCCGACCCTCAGACTTATACGAATCCGTATTACTCCGCCACTCACAATAATGCTACGATTCTCACAGATTCTCAAGGTTCTATTAACTACCAAAATATCAATCAAGCGAACCCGAACGCGAACACGAACGTGCAACCTTATAATGTATACGATCCGTATTCGCACGTGAGCCAAGCTGGTCCTATACCAGATAGTATGTCGATGTATAATTCGGCGAATCAAGAACAGTTGACGGCGAACTTTGCCCAGATGCAAGTCACCGCACCGCTCAATCAACAGAACAAATCTGAATCCTCCACCAACTTGGGTACTGAATATTCGCAAACGTTTTACACGATGCAGTACCAACATGTGCCCTCAGCCAACATGGCCACGTACAGCCACGCGCCTCAGGACTCCCAAACGAGCAGCGTTTCCTCCCAGCTGCCTTCAGAATATAGTTTAAATTATAACTACACCGCAGAAATGGCTAACCAGTACCCACAAAATATTCAACCGAATGTATCCAGTGCGTATGGTACCCAGTATCAAGATACTGCAAACATATCGCAAAATTACATGTATACAAACGCGGAGAGCTCCGTTACTTCTACTACTTGTGTTGTCAACGCTCCAGTCACTGTCTCTAATCCTTACAGTGTCCCCGCTGAGCCTAATCCGGAATACAATACTTCAATGTCACAACTTGAGGCATTGGACAAACCTATCAAGTCACATGTCACTGGAGAAGCATTGTCATCCATGGATATCCAATCGAGCTATCAGAATTATACAACCGGCTTAAATGCCTCGAATGACCCAAACTATCAAAATCCTAATACCTATTACCAGGATCAAAATTATCAAAATCATCCGGGATACACTTTTAACAATTCCACCGGTAGTTATGACTACAACTATGGATCACAGAATTCGTATTCCAACTATGGAGGTGTCGAGCAAACGAATATGGACCCTCAGTTAACTGGCAAAGATCCAAATTGGAATCAACAAACGATGTACACAAATGCAGGAGTGTGTAACACAGTGCAGTCACCTTCGGACAATCCTCAGATACAACAGGTCTCTAATGAACATCCGATTAATACTCAGATATACTATAATCATCCTTATGGCTATCAAAATAACCAAGTGCCTAATGCCAGTCAGCCTAACGTAGCTCCTCAACAGAACTTTCCGGAAGCAACAAATTACACTTCAGAAATGAATCACTCTACATATATGCAGTCCGGAGTTGTTCCCGGAACAAATGTCACTTATATTGATAATCAAGGTAAGATATTGTAATCATTTTTACAGCGATTTGTATAATTTTTAACCGAATTTATTGTAATATAGTTAGCAATAAAGATTTGTTTACAAGAAAATGCATTTTATTTATAAAAATAATTCTTCCTTTTTAGTTTCACCACCGAAAGAAAAAAAAATCGAACGAAACATCGAGACGAAGAAGGAGAATGCAGTAATAAAGACAGTCGAATCGGAGCCTGAAGTGAAACAGACTGAAGAGAAATTGGAAGTAAAATCTGAACCGTCTGCTTTTGATTTACTCTCTGATATAGATTTCAATGTAGATTACAAGCCATTGATGCCTGAAATAAAAGTGCCTCAAGTATCTGATAAAGTTGTTATAAAACCAACTATCGTACCAAAACTAGAACCTATATCTAAACCGGTACCAAAGGAAGAAACTATAGAACGTCCAGCAAAACAAGATATCTTCTCCGATCCAAGTTTGTTGAACAAATTCACACAGGAAGTGAAACAATTGCAGAATATGACTGATTCATTGACAAATAGAACTATAGGGGGTGTTACTATTTTAGATGCTAAATGGAAGATGTTACAGGATGTTCAGGTTAGAAGCATTTTTATATCTTGCTTCTTATCTTATTAATATTATAAATGCGAATGTATAGATGGATGTAGAAGAAATTCCAGAACTTCTAAACTGTTGAATTTTGTATAGATGTAGAACATAGTCTGGAAGAACACATAGTTTCGTGTTGGTCGCGGGCGACAGCTACTTTTGTTAATAATTAATTTAACTTTTGATTTGTAGCAAGCAGTGTTTTTTTTTTGCCAAAATTATAGGTTTTACTATGTTTTTAGATGAAAGAAAACATGAGTCGAACGAAAACAGTTGCTATGCAGTATTCTGAAGGAAATATTGCATCTGCAGTTGTACCTTACGATGACTCTATGGTCGTGCTTAAATCTGATCCTGATGCTTACATCAATGCTTCTTATTATAAGGTATTTTAAACTTTATACAGCATATAATTAAAGCTTAAAATCACGTGAAGTGCTACATTTTCGATAGCAGGTTTAAAATTGTAAAACTTTTTTTTTATAGCAATTGTCTCCATGGTGTATACCTCTAATGATATCAAAATGTCCGACGGAAAATGACGCCGGAACATTCTGGAAGGCAATTCTCGAATACAAGATTGCGTGCGTTGTTTGCTTGTTGAGTGAGATTGAGGTAAGATGGATCTACCATACATTTTTAAGATTTCATAAAAATATTATTTATATAGCAATATACAAAAAAAAACATATTTTGTTAACTTTTTTTGCATACGATACAAACGTTTTTTTTTATTTATGCCTAGGTGTCAAATTGAAAACTATCGAATTTACCGATTCTGCCTAAACTTTGTAGGGAAAGTACCGGATGCGTGCGGTCATATTACAGGCTACTTTTTTTTTTAATTCTGCGCTGACGAAGTCGCGGTCGACAGTTAGTATTTACATATATTTAACCGTAGACGTATTAATAATGATAGTTTTTATTTCAGATGCAAGGTAAATCATACTGGCCAACAGGAAAGGGCCAATCCCTAGACCTGGGCGGTGTGAGGGTAACTCTGGAGGAAGTGACTTGCACCGTGCACTGGACAGAGAGAATCCTGATCCTGAGCAACGGGAAAACAGTTCACAATGTCACTCATTACCAGATTAATGTGTTTCCAGCCAAGTAAGTGTAATCATTAACTAGATTGGATTGTTTAATTTTGTTAATTGTGTTTGGTAAGCTTTGGTTTTTTATTTGTATGTCAAGTGCATGTGTTTCCGACTGCTATTGTCATTAAAGTAGCTTAGAAAGTTCTATAAAATCTTTCGTTTCGTGACCAAAAGGAATTGTTTCATACTATCTTATATGTATGAAGAAACGGTATATCAAAGTTAATTGATAGTAAGCCAAAGTGCATCTTCTTACTAGATATAGGCATAGTTACATGTCATTTTAAGGTGCACTGCGCGCTGCGTAGTTCTCTCGCATCCATGGTATGCCCTTACATTCCAATCTGAGCCGCTGCAATGTTTGTACAGTTTGAGTTGTGATGCAAGTGGATATGTGGTTGTGGTTCAGTATATCATGCAGCGGGCTGGTGGTGGTGTGCGAGCGCGTGATGTCGCGCACGTACTCGGGGCGGGTGAGCAACCAGTTGCGCGGCGCGTGCCTGCAGTGCGGCGCGGGCGCAGGTCGCAGCGCGCTGCTCGCCGTGCTGCTCCTCGCCATGTGCCAGGTGCGCGCCGGTGACGTCGCACTCTGCGGTAATATAGCTTTCTCTATTTCTAATTCTATTTAATAAAATAACGTAAAATATAAGTATAAACTGTAAAACATTGTTATGTAAATGCGATATCATTCATTTATATGGAAGATAATGGGAAACTAGTAAATAGGCTAGCTGGAAGTGACCGCTAACCAATATTACCAGTATTTACTTCTAACAGAAAATTAAATTAAAAACTTTTTCTGTTACCTCATTTACTAATATTAAAAATATGAATGTTTGGATGTATGGATAGATGGATGTTTGTTAGAAGGTACCTCCAGAACAGCTCAATAGTTTATATGTACAATTTCACGCGGACGGAGTTGCGGGAGACGGCTATTCTTTCGTGACTTCTTTAGTCATACGACATTAGCATCAGTCCTGCAATAGCTGATGCCACTATATTCATTAAAAATATTTAAACCCCACTTTAGATATGTTGGAGAATGCGTGCATAAATCTGTACAAGCATCGCACCAATGTGCTGGAGGACACCAAATACTTGGCGGACGCCTACAAAAGTGTCCTCTTCTACGCGCAAGGCGTCCTCTGCTCCGGTGAGATATTTTTACATTTGTAACCTTTAATTGTTTCTTAAATACATATTTTAGTGTAGATTCTCGTACTAAAACTACTATAAGGCATTCCTTAGTGATAACGACTTGACTTACAGGATTTTTTTTAAGTTTTATATTTAATGCACGTGCAAAATGTGGTATGACGGTATTACAGTTGAACCTGGATAATGGAGTACTAGATGAGCGAGAAAACACTATAAACAAAAAAAATGTCGCGGTTTCTTGGACTCTCGCTTATCCAGGTTCGACTGTCAATGTTATTGTTTATTTAAAACGAAAAACAAGTAAATGGACACATGTATAATTTACTAATAGCTTCAATAGTTGGATTAAATTAACTTATCACCGAATTAACTTGTTATTGACGTTGTTGAAAACAATAAACTCGCTGTTGATGTTTACTTAAAAATTGACGGCGGATTTCGTGACTCGAATAGTTTACTTTTTACTACGTAGTTGTTTGTTTTTCGACTTTGTAGTTTACAAAATACTGTGAGCAAAAAAACTGTCAAAAAAGACAAAATCAATGCACGAAATTAAGAATTTAATGGAATAAATTATTTGAAACAATGTCCAAAGAGATTGTTGTCTCCAATTTTATCAAGAGCATGAGAGAGAGAACGATATGTTACATCAGAGTAGACCCCACACTCATGGTATCATTTACTAGGTACCACAATGTTCAACGGAGAAGCGGTATCAATGCAAAGTGGGGCGGGAGTACTACCGCGAGGGCCTACCGCTGCGATATCCGCGGCTACCCCGAACACTACCCCTACAGGTAGTGATGCTACCGCTACCCGCGTACAGAAGTTCTCCCGTGAATCCTTCGAAGAGATGCGACAATCTCCCGGCCTTAAGAGCGGGGATATGAAGGACCCTCTCAATTTCCTAGACCCACTCTGGAGCCTGAAGAAAAAGTGATAATTTATGACCTTACAAATGTGATAATGTTTTAAATATATAGATTTTTTGCCAAAATTCCACTTGTTCAATATTTATTGCGTAGCTATAAACGATGAAAGTATTTTAAATTTTAATTTATTGATATCCCAGAATTTTGAAGTATCCACACACGTTAATATTAATATAGACATGACCTTACGTAATATCTTTTTCTTATTCGATTTTGAGCATAAATTACACAAGAAAAGCGAAACATATTAATGGTGCGTCGTATAAAAGGTTTGTGATACTTTGGGATCAAATATTACAAGCGCATCTATACATTTCTTTCGTTCAACACGTGGATAGTACATAGGTAGAGTTATTATAAAGCAAACATTTATTAGTTCAGTATATATGTATTAACCTGTTAATTACGAGAAATTATCATTAAATATAGACTTTGATATATGTAATTGGATTTGTAATTATGCGACTGAATTATATGTCGATCAAAGATATGACCTTAAGGTCAAAGTCAAAGTTCCTTCAGTTCTCAAGGATTGTCGCTTAATTTACTTCTCTTTCATTATTGGTTTCTGAGACCCGAATCTCTGTATATCGTCATCCTTCTCATTATCTTTGACAACAGAGAGATTTTGGTTTAAGAAACCCACGGTTACGAGAAAAGATCCATTTTGTTATATTAAAAGAACTTCGAATAGTGTCTTTCAAATTTTGAAACACTTGAACAAAAATGTATTGTCATCCCTTTCATTCTGTTTGTAAAGAACAGAGATAACAAGATAATTAAAACATCACAATCCAACATATGTAGAATTGAATTCCGTGCATCGTCGCAACAATAAAATCTTTTTCTACTTTATCCAATGCATCGCGTATTTGAATAAATCCTTGTTTCAACTTATATTTATACTTATAATATTTTCTATCAATGCTCGTGTTTTATCTCGAATTCAAGTGTATTCAAAGATTTAAAATATGCATTGCAATTTTACATTACCCATAAAAACCTCTGTCACATAAATTAAAAACGAAATTGTGCTTGTCTCATTCACTCTCATTGCATTTCAAATGTTGCTATCTCTTACAACACTAATACGTATTTTGAAATTATGATATTCAACAAAAAGTTGTTATTGCTAAAATTTATCTGATGTCAAAGTCCACAACTTTAGATTTATTTTATTTCAATTAAAAATACTAAACAAAACATATGTAAATACAAGCCAAAACACGTAAACAAATACAATATAAATATTATGTCTTGACTTTTGTTCTCTTTTTGAAATCGAGATAAGTTGCTTAGGAAATGGATCCTTGATTACATCCACAACTCTGTCTCACTTCTACATTCCTACAAGTTGGTTACGGCCGCTATAAAACTACGAGTATTCCTATGTTTATATCATTTTATATACAACAAATAATCATCCAAGTATTTCTTTTCGCATTCTCTACACTATTAACAAAAACACTATAAAACAAACTGTTTTTTAGTAAAGACTTACGTAATTTTCTCTAAACTAGTTCAGAAGATTTTTTTTAATTAGTTCGTCACACTGGACACCATCAAATTAAGAGTTAATAAAAACAAGTGGTATAATGTAAAATGTATTGGTAGAATAACGATATTATTAGCTAGGCTAATTATGCATTTTGTTCATAAAGGCTAGATTAGAATGAACTGATTTAATTATAATGTGATTATACATTGTACTCGTCATCGAGTGATTTGATTTCTTTCAAAATTTATCGGCAATATTAAATGAAAATTAAAATCAGACATTGTGAACCATTTACATTATATAGTATCGAATTTTGGACTTATGTGTATTAATTAAATTATATAATTAATCGCTGTGTAATGTTTACATGTATTAATCAATAAAAAAACTTATAAACGAGCTGTTATTTTATTTCAATCCTGAGCTACTGTCCGTTTATCAAAGAGCGAACTTCAATCAACTTGATAAGATAAACTGTAATAAAATAGTTCAATATCAATAATTACCTTATCAGTATTAAAAGGCGATTGCCATTTTTCATTTACGAATTTCAAGTGTAAGGATACAGTACGTTTCGGTTTGTGTTTTCAAAGTTTGGATAGTTGTGAATTAGTGCAATTTTAAAAATAAACGCGCAATTACGGATTATTAGTATTTGTTGTGTTAGTGTCTATAATTTAATTTTTTCGATAAGTAAAGAACACTTTTTTATCGATGTTGCCATAACGACGGTTACCGGCAATGCAGTGGTTCAGTGTTGGTTTAGCGCCTTAATGATGAAGGAAGTAATGCGGCCCGGGCCCGCGGTAGGGACGGAGAGCATCTTGGATTGGATCCGGAGCCGGGAGGTTGCGGAGAAGTGCGCCCGTGTACGCCGCCGGCCGCCAGTCCGGCACGAGCCTTCGTCGTGAATGTACGTCGTGTGTGTTCGTCAAGCGAGCGGTCGCGCACGCGCTCTCGCGATCTAAACCACGCAAAACAATTCGAAACAAATTTTTACACCACCCACTTAAAAAACGCAAACAATTTGACAGTGACGTTTCAGTGGACGCGATGACAGTTCAGCACGTAGTGTATTAATGTAAACGCAAATTTCAATATTCCGTATCACAAATTTACAGTGCCGCGTGAAATAGAACAAATTCATGGTGAACAAAATTGACCTGTGTTGTGCATATATTGCAGTGTGTAAACATTAGAATGCCACCGATAGCTGCCGGGTAGCGCGATGATGCGCAAGGAGGGTGCCGGCGCGCCCGGGGCCGACGTCTCCCTGGACGCTTACGATTGCTTAAATCTCCAGCAGATTCTTCAGGCGTTCAACTCGACCATCGGCGAGGAGTACGCTTGGGCCTTGTTCTATCAGGCCGCCAAGTGTTTTCAGAAATGTCTCGCTGACGGCTCGACCTGTTACCTGGCAACGGAGCCAAGGCATCTGTTGCTGCATAAAGATGGCTTCGTGCATCCGAACACGCTCACGCATCCAGGAGGTAAGCAGAAACAAACATTACAACTAAACGCAATAAACTAGTTTGTAAAAATGCACTTAACCAATTGCTTTTTATTCGTATTTAATTTGGTTTTCAATAACCATATAATTATTTTTATTTTCCATAAATAATAACATTATGTAGTGATGGGACCTGTGATAATACGATAAGGTTGCTAATGAAAATTAACCCCTTAGTTTTCCAAATGCGTTTAGGTTTCCTAGTCTGGGGAAATGGGCAAACCTATTTTTGCAAAAGAAGAATCATTTAGGTTAAAATTGCGGGAGATTTATTTTATTCAAAAGAAACCTTTTATAAACAATTTAGCGATATGAAAATGATATCATCCATTTCTCTATACGTTACGTTTATCGTTGAATATTAATAGACATGATGTATTTGAATAAGTTTTGTTTTTTATTATCTTTTTTAAATGTAATGACCATGGCCTGTGGTCCATTTGGCATTTAATTATAATGATGACAGCGAATATGTTTATCTAAACTTGATTTCACCGGTTACGAACACAAGTGCCCATACGATATCAACTTTAAAAAAAACTGCTACACGTATATCGCACAATAAATAGTTACCTATACTACAGATTGCAACATTTTAAATACATGTTATATGTATTACTGGCATGATTTTTTATTACAATGCTTTAGTAAGCTTACATCGATGTTTCAGTTTTACCTTTTTTTTGCGCCGATCTATGACGATGATAATCGTTATATAATTATCATCATCCTGTAGCTATTCCAATGCCAGGTCGACGCACCAGGTCTTCTTCCTCCAGGTCGCTATACATCTAAGTACAGTTGAACTGAGCGAAGCGAGAATCCAAGGACCGTGATACGTTTCACGCTTGTAGAGGTTCTCTTTAACCCATGTTTTTCGCATATGAAGGTCGTTCTTTGGGACAAGTAAAATAAATCTCGTTTATAGAGGTTTCTTGATTTTCAGTTCTCGCTTACCAAGGTTGGACTGTATTTCGAAAATGAGAGAGAAAGAATAAAAATATATTCTTTGTAATATTAGATTATGATTGAGTTTCCACTGTCGAAAAATACATACAAAAACATTTTGTCATCCTAGAGGTCAAAATATACACTCAAACGCAATTTGCCTTCACGAAGTTATCAAATTAGGAGTTTAAAGTTAATATTACTGCCAAATTTGCTAACCTAGTTTGCAAAATTGTCCTTTTACTAAAAAAATAAATTTTGTTTATGGTCAAAATGGCGATTGTGTCATATTTAATTACAGCTTTGTTTTGCATAAACGGTGTTTAAGGTTATTTTATCTAAGTTTGATATAAGGTCAAGTGCTGGGTTATGATTAGAGACAACTGGATGGTTTGATTTGATTTAAAATATTGAACATTGATTTTAATTATTTTTTTTTGTAATCATTTATCAAATTAAATAAGCCACCCACGATGTATAGATTTCGTCAAAACTTTGTATGAACAGAAAAAACTTGTAAGAAACACGTACAACAGTGGTCTTGGTTGATGACACGATCATAATGACATCACATTAAAATAATAATTTCTCCCATATCGTTGATCGCCACATTTTTTTCTATGATTTTCTACCTGTCTATGTTATCCTGGTACATAAAAACTAAATTAAATTGTTACGCGTTAGCGCCGCCGTTATATATTAAAGTTACGATTATATAAGACACTCTATAAACGAGTCTAAATCACAGCAAGTACCTAGGTGTTATTTGTTAATATAACATAAGTGTACTCTTTAGACAATTAATCTTAGAAACAGATTACGTAATGTAACAAGGAACACTTTACAGCTTGAGTGTACTGATTATTTTGTAATTATATGTAAAAGGTTATAAATGGAAAAGTACTGTTTAAATTAGATAGTATTAAAATAAATCTTTTCTAAACAAAACAGTTGTAAATTCATCTTAAATTCTTAAGTAATAAGTTTCAAATTGCGGAAGTAGGAGTGTATATATATTTGTCTTCTACTTAATGTACCAAAATTATACCACTAACTTGTACACTGCGTTGCAAAATGAAAACCTCATCAACATATCGGGTTAAAAAGAAGTTTTTAATGCGATTATTGCACGGTTGGTCTGCAGCGTTAACTGTAGCCACAAGTCTCGACCTTGTGTCTGGTGCCCTCAACCTACATCGTAGTTACGTCTTCCACAGATTAAAAAATACATCCCTTTGATATTGTCGCACTGGCGTGTAACAAATTAATACTTTTATTTTATTACTCTAGATTCATCTGGCTTCTTTGTTGACTGTACTTCTTTTTGTGTTTTAAAAACACAGATAAATTTAGGGTACCTAGTTACATTTCGTTCTCACGAAATCTCAACTTAGTAACGAGCGTTCCAAGAAGATATGTCGTATTGTGAAACAGTTCCAGCAACTATGAATGTCCAGTGACAATTTCTATGTATTTAGAGCTTGGCATAGTTCTACTAAATCCTAGTTAAATTTTCGTTCTGATAACAATGTTTAAAATGAAATACAATTAACTGGGAATTTAAACTTAACACTTATTTTACTTCTTACTAATGTATTTATAAACGTGAAAGTTTAGATAGACTCCTTGTGCTTACGTTGGTGTTAATTATTATTGAAATTCTTAATTTTTATTGACGTAATCCAAAATCGTACAAATAACGTTCGGCAGTCACTTCAGAGCGAGACAAACGTAGTTTGTATGTACTTCCCATACGAACATTAACGTACATTTACTACTAAATATGTTCCCATATTGTGTATTTAAATTCAGTTTGAAATCTGATCTGACTTTTTCTTTTATGATTTGTCGTATGCTCGTACGGTAACGTTGCGACTATTTATGTACCACATGTGCGGTATGTTTATTATCAGTTGGCCTATTTTCTGTGAATTTAGTACCTGTCAATTCATATGAAGCCGCAGTAGACCTCTGAGCGTCAATTGGTGATAAATTTAGGAATCGGTACAGCGAAACGAGCTAACAGAAATTGTCGCGTACAACACGACAATTCTTAGCAATTTTGTTGATTTGACCTTATTACTGTACTATACATTCTGTTTATTAATAAAAAGTTTGGATCAATCTTACAAATATCGTCAATACGATCACGAAGTCGGAGGTTCGAATTCCGCCATTCGACTACTGCCGTAAACCAAATCCTAGCATAAGCATAGAGCTTAGTTGGAATGATTGGATGGATGGATGTTTGTTTGAAGGTATCACCAGAACGGCTGAACGAATCTCGATGAAATTTCACATGCATATAGAACAAAGTCTGGAAAAACACATAGGCTACTAATTATGTTTTTTTTATTCCGCGCGGACTGAGTCGCGGGCGACAGCTAGTTTACTATAAACCAGAATTGTTGACATAATCTCACTTTCTTGACGTTTTAAGATAACGTACTAGTTTGTTCTGTTTCGTTTATTTCTTTTTATCTAATTTCAACAACGCGATAAGAGTGAGTGCAATTTTATTTGTGCAATGAATAAAATAAAGAGAAGCATCCACTTTCAGTTGCGAGTAGCAGTGAGGGTCAAGTCAGGACGTGTTTGTTTGTTTGTTAAAGAATATTGTATTATCTTGATTACTTTCTCACTGAAAGTTTACTTCGAGAGAACAATAGTATTAGCTGCACATGGTGATTTTATACGGATTTTAACAGAAATCCATAAATGTTTTGTTAAAGTTGGAGATGTTTTTATTGAAATAGATTAATAATTGAATAATCTTACTAATATTATAAATGCGAATGTTTGAATGGATGTTTGTTTTAAGGTATCTCCGGAACGGCTCAACGGATCTTAATAAAGTTTTTATCAGGAAAAACGCATAGGTTATTCACACAAGTGTTTTTTTTTTAATTCCGCGCGGATAGCAGCTGGCGACAGCTTGTATACATTGACGAAAATTTTAATGAAGTACCGCTTTTCAAAGTTTCAACGTTTCGTACACGTTGGTAGTTAGTTTTTGCGAATGTGGAGTGGTTATGAATGGGGGCGCTTATTGTTCTGTCAATGTATCGGAGGTTTCTCCGGCAGACTGGTGCGTGGGAAACGCAGCGCCCTCTTCCGGAAGACGACAATGTCCAAGTTTTTTTTTCTTAAACTCTCATTTGAATTTCGAAATGTACTATAGATTGCAAAACGTTCAGTTTTGGTTTTTAAATGTAATTAAGGAAGATAAAAAGACTGGAAATCCTATTTTACACAGCGAAAACATTAAATGTTACCTTTGCACTTTGATGAATTCAAATGAAACAAGAATTGACTTTAGTCTAGAATCACTAAATTGAATCTCCAGTCTGATAAAGGCGAGGTATTTCCATTTTTGGCGGTTTATGATTATCTACTTATCATATTAATGATTCAGTAAGTTCATTATCTCTGACGTCACATCATTACGATTGATTATTTTTGATAGAGGTCACTATGGCTTTGCTCTTTCATTTTTGTTTGTGATATTTTACTACGTCTTAAATAAAAGTTAGCCAAGTCATAATATTTAATGACATTTCCCCTCCAATTGAACTATACAAAGTCGAGTGACCCTAAAAGTAAAATGGATCACGCATATGCTATAAACATTCAATGATCTTCACGGCAATTTATTATTTATATAATTTAGTTAACGGTTTATAGATTGATATAATATGAGTTATATGGACATTTTGTAATAATTATGACCGTTACTGTAATTGGAATCAACTGACGAAAATAATCGAATGACGAAAATTTTTAACATCTTCGCACGAATTGGCCCGGCTCGCCCGGTGAAATACCACGACCACACAGAAGACAGGCGTGAAGTGGAAGCAATTCCGCGTTTCGTCTGATGAGTGTGCGTCCCTGAGGCCTAATTTAGTCCTCTTTCCCTTCCCACCCTTTTTCTTATAAGGAAAGGAGGGGAAGTAGAAGTGGACTTTCCGGATGAGAGGATGCATGGAAAGGGATTTTTTTTCTTTCTGTGCATATGCAATTGCGTATGTC